AAATATTACGGTACTTAATTGTGAAAGAGCTTTTTCTGGCTGGGGATTTGGCTCCTCTGCCTTGACATTTACGTGCACATGTATATTTATAGTTGTGATCTGTGTGGAATTTGCCTTTGTGGTTTTGTTTGCTCTTTAACTTGCTCTGTGATCTACCCCTGTGTGGGGTTTTCTTGTTTTTGTTTTGTTTCTCTTTTTGAGTTTTGTTTCTGAGGTTTAATAGGTGAGGAATGCAGAAGAAATGGTTTATTCTGTATTTTCTTTTAAAGGAAATGTGAGTATTTTTACTCAACTTATATTACTCTAGGGAATTATGACATCATTCTGCTTAGAGTCTTTTCCTTAAAATAACCTTGCACAGGTGCTAATTTATTAATACAGAATTTGAGTTCAAGGTACTATTGTGAACGTTTCTTTGGCTTTATCCTAACTCCTTTCAACAGTTGTTATGAAGGATCCTTTAAAGAAAGGAACTGAAATTAAAAATTATCAAAGCAACTATTCCAAGACCTGGAAGTAGAATGAACTTTCTCATACCCTTCTCCCAAAGTCTCAGTGTATTGTGCCCATCCGTATGTATGTGAGTTGGGCTATAGCTCTTGAAAGAGTATACTGGAAATGGGTGTTTCGGTAAAGTAATTGTTTCTTTAAAATAACTCGGGTGGAATGCTGAATCTGAGTGGTCAGACTCAGCTTCAGAAGTGTAGGTGAACTGTTTAAAGAACAATTTTCAGCTTGTTTGTGTATATTTCATGAAACATCATTTAAAAAAACCTAAAAAGGTAGAGTCTGGTATTACAATACTGAATGCCACTTTCTCTTTGATCAAAGAACAAACAAAACAATCTTATTCAGTCTTCCTGAGAGATGATCAAATATTTTAATAAACTGTCTATTAAATTTTTTTTTTAGTAATATGATACAGTTGAAGATGCAAGTTCTTTCCAGATGACTTCAAAAAGCTTGAACTTAAATTCTCATTTTAGTATTTGTTTTTTAGTTTGGACTGTAGGGAGTAGGAATACGCAAATGTTCAGAAAAATATAAGCTGATTTTTCACTGTACCTCCAAATACCAACTTGATAGCCTTTATCTCTTTGCAAAATAGATAATTCCTGTAGCTCAAAATTCCAGTTCAGGGACTGAGAAGGAAATTATTAAGCAGGTAATACTGAGAGGAGGCTGAAAGCTGATAATCTCTATGCTAGCAAAATGACCTAGTCAAAGTCTGGTGCTACTTCATTAGAAGCGATATGACATGCCAGTCAAGAAATAAGTAGAGCAGTTTGTTTTGGTTTACTCCATTTGATGTATAGGCATATAATACTGACTTGGAGGCTTAAGATTTTGACAGCCTTCTTCAAGGCATCTTCTGATCAGCACAGCTACTGATCTCTAACAAATAACTGTGGAACAGGAAAGAGCTGAACAAATGCATATATATGCTGCTAACTTTGTCAGTGTACAAGAGTGCCCTAAAGTGGCTTACAAGAATTGGAGGACATGCTGTCTATCGTGAGACCTACTGGCTCTAAATACTTGGCTGACAGCTAACACGTCTTCAGGAATATCATGCTAAAAAAGATCAATGTTCTAGCAGAAATCAGGAAAACCACAAAAATATACAGACTTCATTTGAAAGTTAACATAGTATTTTCTATAATGTATTGTAAAGAAGATCTGGTCTTGATTACATATATTTTCTAGAAAAGCGGCTAGATATTGTCTTTGCTCTGCTTGATGTCTTAGTACTTCAGCGTCATACATTCAGCATCAGAAGCTGGCTTAAATGAAACGCAAATCTGGTTGTGTGCCTAGAATATCTCCATGCGCGATGCAGATACCTCATGGTCCTTGCTCGCAAAGTGCTGACTGGCCTCTGAGGCAGAGGGTGGCTGAAATGCAGCGATTCTGGGAAATGGGCTTATTGACAAAACGTCCCTGAACACTACTACAAAAGAGGAGGAAGATCTTGGGGCAGAAGGGCACAAACTTGAACTCATTTATGGGATAATTTTGTTCTTTACATCTGCCCCATGCTAGGTGATGACCCTATATCTGTTTTTGTAGAGGATACTCAGGTGTTACAAACCTTTTTCAAGCACTTGGGAAGCTGAATCTTTTCAGAGTCTAGAGGAGTGGTTTTTGATACTTGCTGGTCAAGATATATGATAACAGCTATAAAATATGTACTTTTAATTTTACTGTTGTAATCTTATAGCTTTTTTTTTTCCTGTTTATTTGAAGGGAGTGCAATGCTGGAAGTCCCTGTTGTGGAAAGTGCATTAAGGATTTTCCTTTTTTAAAATTATTTTTTATTTTAGACTCTGTTGGAGAGGGATGTAGGATCAAATAACAAAATGAATAAGAATGAACTGCAAAGACTAGATATTCATTCCAAAGTTCTAAAACCTTGGCAGCTGTGGCTTATAATCTATCCTTAAAACTACTTGAATACTAGAAGACTAGAAGAAGTAAAAACTCTCATCACAATAACCAGAAGGATTCCACTATCTGAGGAAGTACCAATAGGACCTGATGTACCTGAATGATCATTAGCGTGATATGATGTTTATACTGTGCACGCTGGTAGAAAGTCTAAACAATTTTTTGCAATTCTTTCTTCCACTTATTCTGAAGAAAAGTTGTATCTCATATCTGTTAAGAATTCTTTAAAGGATTCCACAAGTGTGTGAGAGGGAATGTATGGTTGATTTACTATAGCCTACCTGTATTTCCCAAAGGTCTCTACTTGATAAAAGATAAAAGCATAGGACATCTTTTTGTCTTAATAAGATAAAAGGAAAGGGCCTACCATGGATAGAAAGAAGGAACCTACTTGTTGGAAAAAGGTGCCCAAGTCCCATTGACTCTTAGGAGGTCCCAGGCTGTAAACTCATCTAAACGTGAAGATCTTCTGCAGGCCAGGAAGTAGAAGCGGTATAGTCATTGCTGTGGACCTCGCTCAAATCTTAACTCTTTCCATTTTTAGGAAATAACTTAACTAATTAGAGTATAACTTGGCACTTCTGTCAGAATAACAGACTGTTCAGAATGCCTGAACGTTACTCACTGTGACGGTCAGCAAAAAATCCCAATGTAACTTTTTTGTGGTTACCAGAATTTGTTCTGTAAGTTTTGACACTTTAGGAAAAAAGGGATCTTTACTGTGCATTTTTTTGTTGTTTTAATGAAATAGAAATTATTTTCTGTTTTACAAATTTTTTTTAAAACCTGGCTAATTAGAACTTCTAGTGTATTCTTTGATATTGAAAAAGGAAATTTGTATTGAATATGCTCAAAGGGAAAAGTTCTTATACTTTGCTTTTGAGTTAGCGCTTGCATTCCCTACCGCTTCCATTGACCATGAGGTTTTGGAAAACCTCATGAAAAATATTGTCCTGAGACTAGTCTGAGCTGTTGCTGTTCTGACAATACTATTCTATGCCAACATGGCAAAATAAATGATATAGGGTACCTCTCAGGTGCTCACTGGTGGAATAATTTAAGCAATGTAAATTATGACTGTGACATAGGTTCTTCAAACCATACCACGGGAGCACAGCTGAGCATAGTAACTCCTTGTACCGCTATTTTTACAAGAGGATTGAAGACAAATCTAAATCTCAGTGTGCGAATAGAGATGAAGTTTGGTTGCTGTTTTAGTTCAGAGTTAATGATCTCTGGATCATCTTTGGATCATGATTTGTCACATTTGCAACTATTTCCTGGGCATAACAAAGTTAACTGCTCACTAAAACATGTTGGGAGTAGTATTACACTTTGAATAAAATGAATTCAAGTCCAGTTAAATGTGAGCCATTATGTCTGCTGCTTTGAGAATTCTATAGTAAAAAAAAAAAAATGCTGAATTTGGGAGACACGTCTCCCATAATTTGTCTGAAATACTGGTAGTAAAGTAACAAAAGCAATATTTTTTTTAAAGAAAGGTAGAGGAAAGGGTTGATTAATAAAAGTATTATTCCATGTAGAGTTCAACACTGACTTCAGCTGTGAAGATGATAATTGATTCTATAACGTTGTAACTTCCTATATTCCAAAATGTAAGCGGTCCCAAGAGACTTGGTGGCAAGAGGATCTGAATCCTCTTTTCAGTATCCTTTGGCCTATCTTACAATTAAAATAATTTTGGGTATGTAAGAGTTCTTGCTTTGTCAAGTATCGTGTTGAAATCTCATCTTTATACTTTTTTCCTTCATCCCCTTCTTTCCCCTGCAAGAAAGGAAAAGGATATTTGAGCAAATCTTGGGTGCATTCAGGGAACCTGGTAAATTCTAGTGCAGGGAAGTGGAAAAGAGTAGATAGATATCGGAAATAGGGGGACAATACATGCAAAATATCTCCCAAATCTTTTTTTTTCATATTGTCTGGTTAGGAAGAAATCTGCCTTTTCTGATCTGCCAACCCTCTTTTAAGTGAAGAGCAGGATCTGAAAAACAATTTCAAATATAATGTTGTCTGCACTAGAAGATTAGTCTTTCCCACTTGAGTTTGAGGGTCCTTTTGCTGCTATATGCTGCCTTTCTTAAACGATTTCTTATTAGGAGAAAGAGGATTGGCACATAATGACAAAGATGCCTGAAAGCTTGATGTTTCTTTTGTGTGCGATGAGGAGAAGAGTATGACTGGTCTGCTTTAATTGAGTGGCTTGAGCCGAGTTAAAATAAAGTGACTTGTATTTTTGCTCAGTTTTAGTTTCTTACAGCTTAATAGTGCTTGGCTCCAATCAACCCTATCTGAGAGTGGCTTGATTTTATTTTTAAAGAAATGAAATTAGACTTTCTGAAGCCTTGTAATTAGCTTGAGTGCAAGTCCTTTGTAATCCTTCCTGGAAAAGATACAAATTCATGCTGGTGTTACATTGGGAGAGCAGCTGTATGTACAGCAGTCTCTATAGAAACTGCAAAGCAAAATGCTGGAATTATTTTATACAGGCTACTGCAGTCTTTCTGAGGCAGTTCTGATTTTAGACCTGTCTAGGTTCAGTCTGGTGTCCTGGTGGTGAAAGGCACTATTTCACCCTGTTAAAACTCTAAACTCTCTAGTTACTTGAGGAGAGGGGAAATGGAAGTTGAGCAGTAGTCTGTGTGTCTGTATGTCTGCGAGAGTGAAGGCTGTGCCGGCTGTTCAGCTCGGGTAGCCTGGGAAGTGACGTCCGGTGGTAGTCGCCCTTCTAGAAAGAGCGGAGACACGTAGTGTAGGTGGGAGGACTCTAAAGAGGGCTGTGTCTTGTCCGGTGTGCATAATTATTTATAAATGAGCAACGGGGGAGGGAATGAAATAGGGACAAGCTGTCTAGCATTTCTTTAAAGTATCAGAGAGCTTGCTGATTTGTAACAGTTTTGTTTGTTTCAATTCCAAATTTGACTTTTGTTTTTCCTTCTCTAGCATCTCTGCATTGCTAAGACACTGGATACTGGTTGCTTTATAGCAAGAAAAAGCTAAATTCCTCTAAAACTCAGAATGGGGAAAGATTATTATTCTATTCTGGGAATTGAAAAAGGGGCTTCTGAAGAAGATATCAAAAAAGCTTACAGAAAACAAGCCCTTAAGTGGCATCCAGATAAGAACAAATCTCCCCACGCAGAGGAAAAATTCAAAGAGATTGCAGAAGCTTATGAAGTGCTCAGTGATCCCAAGAAGAGAGACATTTATGACCAGTTTGGGGAGGAAGGTATGTATTTCTCTGTACTCTGTGAATGGTCATTTTAATTGCATTGAACGAATATAGATGAAACGTGGGAGCGTGGTTTGTATTTTTGGGCAATGTATCTGTGGTGCCTTGAAGCTTGATGTATTTGTGTGTATGGTTTTTTTAGTGAACTTGTATCATTACACAATTGTAATACTGATCTAGTTTTAATTTCTTATTTTAATATGGTCTTTGTGGATTTTCTTTTAAGATTTACGTATATTGTCTACTTGACAAAGTAATTGAACTGGAAAGAGTTTGTATGACCCATAAATAGCTTTCTGGAGTTTCTTCTTACTCTGTCTTAAGTTAATCTGGTGCTTCTTGAAGTGCAGTTGGAGAGAGAGATTCTTCTTAAAATTCTTGCTAAATGGCAGTCTGTTTGATCCAGGGCAGGGCAGTCCTGAGCAGAAGCCCAGGTGTCCAGTCTGTAGTTGTTTTTGGCTTCTTGCCTGGAGAGGAAAGAATTTGCCTGATGTCATGAAATACCAGAACAATTTTTTAGCTTTAATTGTAAACTGTGATAACATGCCAAGAGAATGAGGCCTCAGAAATGTCATATTTAACCTAAAATGGTTATCTTAGAGGATGACTTTTTTAAAAAAAATTTTCAACCAACATGACTTTCCCTCAGTTATGTGATTGAGCAACAGAGGAAAGAAGTAGTATCTCTTCCCTTAAATGTATGGTATCAGAAATTCCAAATGAAATGATTACTTCTGCTGTAACAAGTAGATCTACTCACTCATTGCCATTCACTCGGTGCTATCTTTTTTTTTTTTTTTTTTTATAAACTACAAAAAAGTAGGGCATACTTAAATAGCAATATTTGTGGAATAAATCATGGTTCTTATGACTAGATAATAAAATTTGGCCTTCTGTCATCCTTAGGACTTAATACAGTTGTTAAAATCTATCAATTCACACAGAAGACTCAGCTTCTACAGATTATTCTAATTTTTCTCGTCTTTTCCATGGCAAATTGAAAAAAAAATTTGAAATCCAGAATTGCAGGTGTTCAAAGGCTTCAGTGATGCTCCTAAAACATTCTAGGAAAATAAGATCTGTTTAAGTGCCAGAGAATTTTGCTGCTGCTTTGATCGTCTGCCGCCTTGGCTTCTTCCCTCTCCCCTACTCCTTTCTGTTTATTACTATGAAACTCTTTACTCTGTAGATCTATTTGCCTTTCAGATTCCTGTGCAGTAGCTCATCCTAACCACTTTCCCAAAATATCATTTTAGTTTAAGGTCTTTGGAAAAAGTGACTAAGGCATACAAAGTAGTGCAGCCTTTGCCGTCCTAGTATTGCATACCTGAAGCCAGAGGTTCAAAGCATAGATTTCCATTTATTTTGGGCACAATATTAAACTAGAGATCAACTTTTTGTAACAGTGAATCTGGAAATACCTCTTAATGCCTCAGTAACTCTCTAAGCTCTTCCTTTGCTTCTGAGAATGTGACTAGTAGTTGTGAGGAGAAGAGGAAGAAACCTCTGTGTTTTTTTGTCACTAGGAACTTGATGTACCTTCAATAAAACCTTTTGGCTAGCTATTCCAGAAGGTGTCCTTCTGCTGCCATAGATTTAATCCACTGATCTGTTTGTTTGATGTTAACAGTGCAGTGGCATAAGGATGCACTAGAAGTTGCTAAGTAATTTTAATACCGGCTAGCGTTGAGACGGAGGAAACATTCTCATTCTAACGTCTCATTCAGTTACTGTTGATAGCCAGTATTAAGCTTATGCACAAAAATTTAAAAACACTGAGCAAAGAACTCCTCCAGTTCAAATTTAGAGGATGTATACTTCCTTAAAGTAAATCCTCAGGTATCTGTGGCTGTAGAAGTAGGATAATCTCTGTAGTGCTGAGCTGTTGTAAAATGAAGGGGGGGGGGGGGGGAAGACAATCCTGTTGTCAGTTTAGAAGTAAAGGTCTCCTAAAAAGACTTTCAGTTTTTAGTCTTGAAAGGTTGGAAGCTATCTTGAAATTATCAGTGCAGGAGAGTGCTAACTAGTAGGAAGAAATAGGGGGAGATCACCAAGCAGGAAGAAGCATTAAGGAACCGATCTTAATCAGGTTTGCAATGAGGGAGCAGGAAGTACAAAGGACTGGGCATTGAGAATCATAAGGAAAATTTGTCAGGAAGAAATGGACTGTAAATCTCTCCCTGAGAAAAATAGAAGAGGTAGAACAAAGCTGTTTGAGAATACGTTTTTTTGCACAGAGAAGTTGACAATATATACAAGATTTTATTACCCAAATAGGTTTCAGGAATTTTCAAGCTGTTTCTATTCATGGCTGGACGGAAAGGGGTTCCCGGGTTTCTCTGTTTTATATCGTAGGACCACAAGCTGCAAGAAGTTAGAGCTCCTAAATTAAATATTAAGGAAGTATATGGCTACTAGACTCTTAGCCTTTTGCTTCTTAGTCTCTTAAACTGAATTTTAGAAAAACTGAAGGTAAAGCTACTTAATACTGGATTAAAGTTGAACTATGGATCATGTCAGAAACATCAAATAGGATACCACATAAGATCCCCAGAACTGATCTTAGAGGGATGCAGCTCCTAGCAGACTTTGCAGAACAAACGAACAAAGTCAAGCAGTCCTGTGATCTGTTTCAAGATGCTAATTCTTTGAATAACTAAGCTCAATTTTGTGAAGTGAAATTGGCAGTGACAGAATCCTTTCCAACTGAAGTAGGAGTAATTCTAAAGCTTCCAAAGCTTTCTCTTCCACCTATTGTACTAGTAATTGTTACCGCATAGTCTGATAGCGATTCGTCTTTGAAGAGTCCTGTTGCTGTACCGCAAAAACCTTTTTGGCTTGTAGTTTCTAGTATTTCATTCATTTTAAATGTTGCTTATTTATCTTATTTAGGGCTGAAAGGAGGAGCTGGAGGACCTGATGGACAGGGTGGTACCTTTCGGTACTCCTTCCACGGTGACCCACATGCTACATTTGCAGCTTTCTTTGGTGGCACAAATCCTTTTGAGATCTTCTTTGGAAGGAGGATGCCTGGTGGCAGAGACACTGAAGACATGGAAGTGGATGGTGATCCATTTGGATCCTTCACTAGTTTTAGTATGAATGGTTTTCCAAGGGAAAGGAATACAGTTGGTAGCCAACTGCGTCGTAAACAAGATCCCCCTGTCATCCATGAACTTAAAGTGTCATTGGAAGAGATATACCATGGCTGCACAAAAAGGATGAGAATTTCCCGTAAAAGGCTGAACCCAGATGGTAGAAGTGTCCGAACAGAGGACAAAATTCTCACGATTGAGATAAAAAGAGGATGGAAAGAAGGCACCAAAATCACTTTCCCAAAAGAAGGCGATGAAACACCAAACACAATTCCAGCTGACATTGTTTTTATCATTAAAGATAAACCTCACTCACACTTCAAGAGAGATGGGTCAAATATAATCTATCCTGTTAAGATCAGCTTAAGGGAGGTAAGTCTCTTGATAAAACTCTACATGTTCAAACCTGTTGCCATGTGATACAATGGCTGTGCTGTACAAGATGTATGGCAGAAGCAAAGTGGGGTTTTTTTTGTTTTTTTTTGTTTTTTTTTTTTAAAGTGGCACTTCATGGCTGTAAAGTCAAAGAGTGGCTGCAGAATATAGTTATTTATAGTGGAAGTATAAATAATATAGTGAAGCACCTAAAATAGGGTGAGGGAGGGAGGAAAGATAGTTGATGATGATGTGGATGATATGCTTCCTTCACAGACAAAAGGACATAGACGCATTGCACTGCTATATAATAGCAAGCATTATCGATATAGGTTAAGTGTGGAGCATGGGGTGAAGTTGGAGGAATCAAAATGTCATCCCAGAGATCCTAGTAATGAGAATAAATTATTGGGTAAAGCAGGAGAAAGTCTGTTTGTCTTGGTGATGGTATTTTTTTGGTTTATTTTTTATTTTGGCACATCAAGTCAGTTTTTGTTTTTCTTTGAGCAGCACAAATGCCCACCTAAAAAGACTATCAAATTTAATATGCCTATACTTAACTTAGACACTTACATGCTATTTTGCCATTTTAAATAGTGTAGGTTGATAGTGTATTAAAGTATACCCCTGTGCAATGTAAGCAAACAGTAGAACAAGAGTCTGAATTTCCGATGGAAGCTGAAGTTGGACATCTGTAGAACCGTATGGGCTGAAGAATTGTAGACGGTGTGTTCACTCTGTTCTTGCTTGTCATGTTATTTGGTAAAATTTGGAAGGATATATAAACTTAGTTGCCCTCCAGTGGCCAGTCCCTAAGACTGGAAATACTGTGATGTTCAGTGAACACTGAAACCTTCCCTTTTTAAGGGAAGCACACTCTTAGAATTTTGACCTGTCAGCAGTGCATAGTTTACTAGTGTTTTCTCATTAATGCGTATGCAGTTGTAGGTGTATGCAGTTTTGACCACTTCCTTTCTCTCATGATACAATCTTTCTTTAGGCTTTGTGTGGCAGCTCGATCAATGTGCCAACAATAGAAGGAAGAACCATACCCATGACAGTAAATGAAGTTGTAAAGCCTGGGATGAGAAGAAGAATTATAGGATATGGCTTGCCATTTCCCAAAAATCCTGACCAACGTGGAGACTTAATTATAGAGTTTGAAGTAATTTTCCCAGATAACATATCTCCAGCATCAAAAGAAGTACTTAGGCGAAATCTTCCTGTTTCATAAAGCAAAGACTGTATGTCAAAACTATTTAAAGAGGACACTGAAGATGCAGAAGACTGGCAAGTCTGTGCTTTAAAAGTGCAATCTGTAACAGCTAGTGGAATATTTGTTTTTTTTGTTTGTTTGTTTTATGGGATGGGTGGGGGGGAATACTGTAATGCTGCATGAGAGGAAAAGTACAAATCTTACAGATGACTTCTGCAGTAAAATTTACAGGGAAAACCACTCATATTTTATTTTAGATCTTCCTAATCAGAAAAGTTTATGCAGTATTTTGCTTAATGTAAAATGTAATCAGTTTTTAAAAAGTCTGTGCATATATTTCTGATAAAGTGCTTGAGCCTCCAAGTAATTTATTTCTTACCTCCCTACGATATCTGACATTACACATTCATACAGCAATTGGAGTTCATGGTAGAAATACATGCATAATATGCACAAATATTTGAAAGGAGAAAATGTTACAGATGCTGTTTTTGTATGTTTCCTTCCACTGTTCAGAGCATAGGTCACCTGAACCCCTATGGAAGTATTTTATTTATTGTCCCAGAAAGGTGAGGATTGCACTGCAAGTCTAGCAGAGGGCATGTGACTTAAGGAGGAGTAGTGAGGTGGCCGTTTGCTGGGGGATAGTCCCTCGGGTTCCAGGCGGAGCTTTAATTAGCAGTTTTTTCACTGGGCAGTGCTAAAGACCATGTTCTGCAAACGAGGTTCAGCCCAAAGATTGGTGGAGCTGATGCAGTAGCTTGAAACCAAAAGGAATCTGTCTGTACTTGAGAGAGAGAAGCAAAGACGACTTTAAAAGCATTTGGCTAGGGCAGGTATTTTGTGAACCTGCTGATCTCAAACACTGGCTGTTTTGAATGGCTGAACTTTCCACTACTCCCATAAGGAAGAAGGAAAAGCTCAGATCCTAGCTAAAGGAAAGCTTACTTAAGACACAAACTGGGGTGGGGATGGGGGTGCCTGTAAACTTTCAGGAGCTTTGGATCGAGTCTTCTGTGAATGGAAAGTTATTAGGAGTTAACAGGAATTACTCATCCTTAGTTAAAACGTGCATAGGGAAGTGGAGAGCCCTCTATAGTCTTGTTTTGTAACATAGCAATAGGGCTGGTTCTCTTGATTGCAGCATGGTTTTGGTGAAATAAATGCCTTGCAGATGTGTTTTCATTAATTGTAGTTTAAAATGGTACTACAGTGCTTTAGCAACACTTCTAAAGAATATTTTTTTCTTTATAAGAAGAAAATATGTAAGGTTTGCTATCATTCTTTTGCCTGTGGAAATGAATTAGTTACCTGTTCTGGCTTATGAGAGAACTTATCTTCCTATAAATGACTTCCTGTAGGAAAGTAAATCATATGGAAATTGGGATTTAATTTACAATAACTTTTTAATAAGCACAAGAAGAATCCCATTTCAGTTGCTCAAAGGAATAGAACTTCTGGAAGGTACTGTGTAAGTTGATTATTTCAACTGCAGATCTTTTCATACAGTGTCAGTCACATGAAGGCCTAAATCTACAAGGATCTAAACAGTTGCTGGAGTAGTATCACAAAGGGAAAAATCTGCTGCTTAGTGCTTTTGCATATTGTTAACACTATATATTGTTTGTGTTTAAAAACTTATCATTTCAGTATGTTCTGTATTGCATTTATTTCTTTTTTTTTTAAGTAAAAAGTGTAAACTTGGTTTTTAACTTTCTTTTATTCTTTATTATGATGGCACGTGCTATAAATTACAGGAGTTTAAAAGTGTATTGCTTAAAATATGTGTATGTCAGTTTAAAAGTAAATAGAATTGGATGTTTTGTAATCCAGGATCTTATAAGCTTAATCTAACTTCGAGAAACAGTTACAGCAACTGGGAGTATTTTTATATCCATCTTGCAGTAAGAGGATTGGTGCTAAACTGAACTTGGAGTATCTTGTACTGTGCGTTTATTATAGAGATTTCTGTTTTCATGCTTTAAGTACAAGAGACTAATATGAAAGAGAGTGGTATGAAACATTAGCATTTCCCCAGGGAGAGGTAACAAAGTAAGCCTTTAGCAAAATATAGCCTTTAGAAACTATTTTGTAAAAGCTTGATTATTTGGGAAAGGTTACATGGGAGACAGAAGTAAATACTCGATCACCTGCTATATCTAAATACATGGAAAGGAAATTGGCTTTAGTGAAGCTGAGGAGAGAGGGGCTTGGTATCTCCTGAAAGTTGCTTAGGTACTGTGGAAAGTAAAAGCATTTAGTTACTTGAGAGAAGTTTGTTCAACAAATCTATGAAAATCTGTACCTTTTTAATCGCTCCAGCATCAAGCTTTAGGATATCCTCAAGCTGTTGAGGAGTAGGGTAAGGTATATATTACAACTGTTTCTCCTTTCTGTCATCCAGAGATGTTGTCTGATGACTGCTCCAGTGCAGGCTTTCTGATGTCATGAGGAGACTAGCATTCCACTCTTCCACTCAACCTTTCTTGAATTATCTGCACTGAAAGTTTTCCAATCCTACATGTGATGCAATGAATGTTTAAATTGACCTGTTTACTTTGCCTTATAGAAATAACCACTTCTGTAGCTGGGGTCTGGTCTCCGCTGCTGTTCTTACCACATTCATCTTTTAACATTCTGGGTGCTCACTTCCAATTGCCTTTTGCAAGATAGAAGCAGTCTTTTGCTTTGTATGCCCTTTTCTAATATTCACCTCTTTATTTTCAATATGACCTCCAGTCCACGTATCACAAACAGAGCTGAAGATGAGCAATCTGAATTACAAGTAGTCAAACGAGAATATTGGTGTTCTGATTGTCAGGAGTGATTTTTTTTTTTTTTAATATTTCTTAGTAGTAAGTGCTTGAGACTGTCTTGATTCTCAAAAATTCAAGCATAAGGAGGAACTCATCAGATTGATGCCTAGTGCAGAGAATGAATCAAGCTCTTGGAACAGTTGTACTTTCAATGCCAAGGAGGCAAAGCACAGGTAAGGAAAACGGTCTGTAGCTGGCTTGGCTATACAGACCCTGTCTGGGCTCTGCACAGATGTTGGTGTGCCATGATATTCTCCTTAACCTGCATAGTTTTGTTTAGAGGCTGGAGGAGGCAGTACCAGAAACCTAGGCCAATTGTCTTGACTGGGTAACCTCTTATTAGTTGTGGATTCATTTTTTGGAGGATCTGTTCCAAAATAAATTAGCAGCCAGGAAAGGGGGTGTTTTTTTGGCCAAGAATCAGTTCTGCTTCTTGGTAAGTGCTGCTGGTCATATACTTGCTTAAACTACTATTTTCCCTAATGTTGAGTCACATTGTGTTAAGTTTTTGAGACTTATTGGGTGCAATTTGCTGGTACTTAGTTTCAGTTGAGAGAGGAAAATAGTGGTTTCCGTAGCTTGTTTTCCTCAGCCTTTGCGGAGACTATATGATCCCAGACATGTTTCCATCTTTTTATTCTTAATCGATAATCGATGAGTCTTTCAAAGTATTTTAGTCCAACGAAACCAAAAACAAAACTTCGAGCCTTTTAAGATATTTTTGCTCCTCCCCAGTGATTTGGTCTCACTTATGCAACGATGTGGTTTTAAAATCTGATTGCAGATCTAGGAACTGTGTATCTATGCTATCTGAGATGCTGCTATGCTAAAGGAGTAAATTCCTTAGCCTTTGTATGGACTTTGCTCTGTTACGGAAAAACTGGTCTGTAGTAGGAAAAACAAAGGAAAGATGTGCACAATTGGTGTCTTGCCTCTGCCTCTTCTTTCAGTGTTTTCATTAAACAGTCTGTGCTGCTGGCAAACGTTGCAAACTTTTCATTTGGCAGATGGGTTAAATGTTCCTGTGTTCAAGAATATGATCAGTCGTGCTCCAACTTAATAAAGGTTTCCATTAAATGATATGCTGCCACCAGCTGCTAAAAATATGAAGTTCAGATGGTATCCAACTATTGGCTTGAAAAGCTGTTACTTTTTCCTTATTCTAGGTCTAAAATATGTGTGTTCTCCCAGGCTTGCTTGTCCAAAATAGAAACAAAACTAGTGATCAAGATTCTTGGCCCATTTTTGAGTCCTTTTGAAATTATTCTTGTCATCTTGTCTGTGGGGTTCCAGCAGCAGGAGGCTGTTGGGGGGTGGTGGTGGTTGTTTGGGGGCAGGGGAAAAAGGGGAAGAAACCAGAATATAGAAAAATGCTTAAGGTAGCTAATCAAAGACTGTATTTCATTGCCCTAGTAGGCATTTCCATGCTTGATAACTGCCTGAGTCTCTGGTTGACAGGATCACCTAGTAGCAAGTAGTTCATAGACAGCGCTTTGGGAGAATGATGTGCATGAGTGAGTGGTACCTGTAGTGCCAAACGGCAGAAAGAGTAGAGTGGAATGCACAAGGGAAGGGAAAAATACTGGACTCGTATGATTATGAGGAAGAGCAGAATGTCGCTGAACATCTGGTCAGTCTTGCGTTTGACAAGCTGTCCCTGCCAGATCCAGAGTCACCTCCTCCCTGATCATCTGAGGTGATCTACTTAGTGCTCCAGTTGCAGTGGTTATGGCAATGCTCATACCTATGTTTTCTCCTGGCTCCCTCCTCTCCCCTTCCCCTAACCTATTTATGCAGATAATCAAGCTTTAAGAAAATCTGGAGGTGACTATTGGCACCTAATCACCAGTGGACAACTCATGAATTAGTGGAAAAACTAGATGCGCTCCATTCCTTTTTAGCATGCACGTCTTACATGGTAGTCTTACATGCTCTGGCAGCATATTTCTTTGAGGTGAAAAGAGGTTCTAACCCTACCAGTGAAACTTGCCTTCAAACTGTCATCTCTGGGTGAAAATTTGTGCACTTGAATTCATATGCTGGCTGGAAAAAAAAAAAAAAGAGGATGTGCACTGGTGATGGCTTTCCTTTCCCAGTTAATAAATGCTAGTGCTCAGCAGCTAACATTATTCTTGTTCTTACTGTTTTGCTTGATGATCAAACTATATAGATTCAGAGTGTTCACACATTCGCTTACTGCGTTTGACATTCAAGCTTGGCAAATGGTAGCACTAGTCTGCTCATGAAGTACAATCTCAGCTCTTGGTTTGTCAGATTGTTCAACAGTGGACTATTTCCAGATAACAAGAACAAGTGATTTGTTTCCCCCAGGCTCTTCCAATTAATTGTTATGTTATGTAAAGAGTGAAAGTAGAGGGATACTGTTGCTCCCCTTGAGTTTAGATGAGAGCACACGACTGTGCTGTGCTTGTTCATTTCCACTGTAAGTGCTGGCCCACCCAAGGGAGAAGTTACAACAATCTTGTTAATCATGCCTGAAGATAATTTGTCCTTGATAAAGTAATCAAACTCCTGCTGCCCTACATGATTTAAAAAACAAAGCACTGAGCCATTATGCCATGCTCCAAACAAATTATCTGGACTGCTCATATATACATCCAAAGAAAGGTTCATAAACTAGGTCAAATGAGAAGTGTCCAGTGCTAGAAAAGCTGTGGCCGAGTATAATGAAGAGCTTGACCTGCTTCTGAGAGAAATCCAGGAAAACCAGGTTTATTTTCTTCATATCACCAACAAACTGATCTTGCAAAGGTGATGGATAGTAAGGATAAAATCTCTGGGGTCCCCTCTTGCTCCCTATGAAGTCATGATGCCAAGCTTGCAGTCAGTGTGTGAACGAGTTTATTGCTGCTGTGTGAACGAGTTTATTGCTGCTGTGTGAACTTTCAGAGGATGGCATGACTAATTGGGGTGCTTGTATGTGTCAAAGACAAAATACGACTACTTTAAGGCAGCAGCTCATACTCTCTGGTAAGATTTGTTAACTGAGTTTAGTCCCTCTCCTGTCACAGATAGTCCTGTTTGAATCTGATCTTAAAATGGAGAATGAAACACAGCCTTATTGAATAAAAGGGCTTGTTTTGCACATTCTCCAAGAGTTTAAAAATAGCTTTTAACATTATTTATGACCAAGAAATTCCTGCTTAGATTTATCAACATTACTCTTTGATTTCTTGTCTCAATTTTTTGTTACCATAGATAACTATAAAGACCAACTATATTTTTTCTCAGCCTTATTTTTGTCAGAATAACAAGAGAAGATCTCACAGTATCTTATAAAAACAGATTCTTCATTCTCTAATCATACCAGAAATCCTTTTAAGTAGTTGCTGAGTTTAGAACAGGGATGACAAGAATGGTGCAAAGTATTGCAGGTAACGGCTCCCAAAGTCAGATATATATTCCATGAGTGGTGAAACAATCTTGTGTATGCTACTGATATTTTGCAGTAGAGTACTGTGGCATTTCATATCCAGTAGGTCTTTGCTGTATTTTACGTACTTGCTCCACAAACTTCATGGCTGTTGCATGCCGTATAATTCTCACATCCTAAGTACTATGGCTGAGAAACCAAGAAATGCAAGAAACAGCAGTGTGCAATACGAAAGGGTAAAGGGGCCGAAACTTTTTTTTGATAAGCATTTTTTTCTCTTCTAAAACAATAGAAGATTAACATCTGTATTCAAATAACTTTCTGACAGTATTATTTATTAAAAGTATGACTTAATTTTTGGATCCCAACTGTCCTGAAATGCTGGAGGCTTATTTGGATTCAGGATTTAGTTACGATGTACAATAATAAATGTTAGCAAATATTTCCCAGTTGGCTGCACATGCCAAGGAAGCCTGAAAGCAGGAGTGATTGTAGTCGGTGTGAATGTGATTGGTGTCCACTATAGGCTTTTTTCTTTGAGATGCTCAGCAGGCTGACTCATTTCTAGCTCTACAAATGATTCAGTCCCCACACTGTTACGCTGATTACATCTAAATGGTTGAAGTTCAAGGAAATACTGTTTATAACCGTAACTGCAGGCTGCCCCCACATCGCCAAAAAAAAAACAGTACAGGTAGGAGCAATGGACATATAAATTGGAATTTTTTAGCACTTTAACTGTTTCCTGCCAAAGTTGGAGTCTGTTAATGACAATTTTTGGTACTGCTGTTTTAAGTTTGGAGTTGGAGAATAAATTAAAATACACAGTTTTCTCTTTCTCTGATAGAAATGTTCAAGCTCATCTATTATTATGTAAATAATGATAGGATATACATGCTCCATAATCTTTGTATTAAACAGTACAATGTGATCTTCAGTTTATTCAGTCAGCTCTTTGGTATCCCATCATTTTTCCTATTTATAGCTAAAAAGCTGATGCTGTTCCTCCAGGCTTCAAGTAGGATCAACATCATTCTCGTGCAATTTCAGTTGTTTTTTTCCTCCCATCTCCATATGAAGCATGGATTATGTTTGGAAGAGGAAATACTTAAAGCTTCCATTAAAGAAAATTTTTCAAGTTATTTAAATTAGGGCTACTGTCAGTGTTTATCAACCTGTGAAAAAACAAATCTGTACAACCTCTGTATGTCAGTATATGAAAACATGGCTGGTTTTGCTTTCATTTAACTGAATTGTTAACCCTTTCAATAACAGTCATAAACAGCATTATTTACTGTTTTGTTTTTTAACATTTTTCGATCATCTCTTCAGAAGATAAGAAATGACTTGATGGAGGTCCTATAGAGGCAAGAAAGAAACTACGATTCTTTCCATAGGCAAAGCTGTGTATCTGTAATAGCTGATATATTCCATCCTTAATATTGGCATCCCTTCTGCTGCATTGGGACAAACCGCTGATATTGGTCAGTGCTATTGTATATGGCCGTTTTGCTTTGGCCATTGTTTTTAAGGTTCCCCAATAGTGACCACGTTTTCTGGCCCTCCTCAGTAGGATTGTAGAAGCTTCACTTTAGGAAATAGGAATGCAAAGTCATTTCAAATTGGGCTGGGCAATTCACGTATCCAAGTCCGATGGTAAGTTTATTCTGTAGTCTTAATTGGTGGGAATTACTGGTAATTAATAACTCAATTTTGAATCCAGTTGTCTTAGATAAGAACTGATAACGTGGGCATTTCTGAGTATTCGGTTAAATCCAGGTTAATTTTGGGAAGACCAAAATCCAAATGGCATCACTGCACTTTTTTTCCCCACATGAACAGAATTTAAGCTTTATGATTTCTTGAGGCAGAGAAATATATATCAGGTGATGTGCTTATGTCAGTAATAAGGACTGAAATGCCAAGAGGAGGAATTACTGAGTGCTCAGATAAAACAGCATCAAGGCTAGTATTTATTCCTCTGGAAAAGGATTCAACACAAAGTATGTGTGCTAGGTTGTCTAATGAACCTCCCTAAGAACTTTCGCCTCCAGGCGGCCTCCTGGTCATCCTCTTCTCTATGCCCTTGTGGTCCGGCTCCTTTTTTTTCCCAGTGGTGGGTCTCCTCTGAGCGTCAGAAGGTGTGCTAAGGCAAAGCTGCTTCTCTCTGCACTTTTGTGCTAGATTCCTGTAGAAGACCTGGATGCTGCTTCATGAAACTTCCACTCTTCATGTCCCGAGTGCGTTCAGCACACCGGTGAAAATGGAGTAATTCACTGAGGTGAGTGTAATTGTTGTGTTGTGAGTGTTGTTGAGGTGAGTTGTACTGGAGCAAAGAGGTCTTTTGTAGCAGGTAAAAGTCTAAATCAGTATTTTATAGCATACAAGATGAAAATGTTTTAAACTTAGCAAAGGCCAGAAAACATGCTTTTTCAAATACTTGTGTTAAATGTCAGTACTTCTAAACTGTTGCCCAGGATGATAGGAAAAGCCTCTTAAACTTTGCTTACATAATTATACATCGGCAAGCTTCAATAAAGTCGTGAGTACTCCAGGCACAATTGTAAATATGGGAAAGATTTGGCAGAAATCTTTATATATGGTCTTTTATATCCTGGATATAAACCTATTTTGATCAACATTTAGTACTTTATTTTGAGTACTATTTAGAAATTCCTGAACAAGCACGTGGGAAGACAGTGAACTTGCTAGCATTGTGTACACGTAGGAAAAGACATAAAGTAGGGGTGTATGTATAAACTTTGTGGAATGCGTTTTCTATTATACACCGTTAGAGAAAAGTGGAACAGACACCTTGTGTTGCAGCCCGTTTTCCGGGCAGCGCGGTCTTGGGCGAAGCTCAGGGTGCAGTCTGCGGGGAAGCGGCGGCTTCCGCTGGCGAACGCGCGATGATGGATGTGGCGGGCAGGAAGCGTTATTGATCCGGGCGAGGAGCCTCCGTCCCGAGCGGCT